TTCTATCTACTATTCCTGTTTCTTTCATGTATTTTCCAGAGACAATGTTATATTTATTTCTTTCAGACCTTTATTTGTAGTACTCCTAGACAGTCTGTGAAGTTGTAACGCCAGTCTTGGGTAGATTTGTTATGGATTGGTATTAGCAGTATTATTAAAACTTTACAATGCAGCCTTCCGCTTATTCAATTCTGTTGTTATTTAATTGTTGGCTCTTAACTGTTATCGGATTTTAAAAAAAAAAAGGAAACAAGGTAAATAGTTCAGTTGGTTGGCTTGCCTAGCTTTCACTAGTAGGCGCCATCACGACTCCCGAGGATGGGAAATTCGGGTCGTGACATAGCAGGAGCTAAATTAAAATTAATGATAGTAATTGTATAGCCAAAGTTTTCTTATTTGTTTGATGTCCATTTATACAAATTGACTCTTCAAACAAACATTTTTCAAAAAGGGAAAAAATATTTTTTTTGAATATTGACTGATTTTTGTGATTTTTTTCTCCGGCATGTAGGTAAAATTTTGTATACGTAAGTAAATTTTTGTTCTATTTTTAAACTCTTTTTTGTTATTTGGATAACCGTAGACGTGTACCCTATATATTACATTTATTTTAAAAGAAATTCGATTTATTTAAATTTAGCTATATTGTTTAAAGAACTATAATTATAGGATTTTAAATATGAAAGTGTTTTATAGTTATATGAAATAGTTTTTTTTTTTTTGCCACAGGCACAATAGTATTTAAATAATCAGAAAAGATAACAAAAGTTCCTAGCATGATTGTATATGATCATTAACCGAATTAAGTATGACAACTTGACCAAAAAAAGATAAATTTCTATTTTATTTTAATTCAAATTTAAAAACTTTATCTATAAATTCAAAATTATTCTTTAATTCAAATTCAGTTTATATATATATATATGACTAATATAGTCAAATATAGAATAAAGTTATCATATACTATTTGCATTTATTAGCTTGCCATTTGGCTTAACCACAATGCAAATTATATATGGTAATTTTATTCCTTTAATATATATATAGATATAAAAAAAAATTAAAGTGCTTTCTAAAAAGTACTTTTGGAGAGAAATTATATTTTTCCCGTTTCTCAAAAAATTTCTGCTTCTATACTTTTTTTTCTTCTAAAAATTTGGTCAAACATATTAACTTTGAAAGGAAGAAAAAAAAAAGCAAATCACGACCAAACAAGCTAGTGGTTGACTGATATATTAAAAACTTGATTTATTGAGTTTCTTATATTTCGAGTTATCAGATCTACGAATAAATTAGGCTATTTTCAGCTGTTTTAACTTTTAATTAATATTCTTCAATAAATTTGAATCCACATAAAACTAATACAAAAGAAACTACACAATAGTAATGTGTAATTAGAACCAATTTTTGTAGCTCAATTTTTCATGGACTAATTTCAAAAATTGTCTTGTATTAGGAGTATTATCTATTATTATAAAAACACATAATACTAAAGGAACAATTTCTCTTTTTTGCTGAATACCTACGACCCTCTGAGTAAAGAAAAAAACCTGAAAGTTGAGCAGAAATGGAGAAAATGGTGCTGATGCGATCTTTGTATCGATCGATATGCCGCAGATCTACTGTCTTCGGCGCGGCCGCCGCCACAACCTCCGCCGTCAATCACCAGTCCCTCCGCCACCTCCATTTCTCATCCCAATCTTTCTCAGCTTCTCCTAGAAACCCCGTTACAGGTACAAAGCATCATCTGCTTATATTCGTAGCAGTTTGTTTTATCGGAATTTTCTGTTCAGCTCAATTTTGGTTAATGTGTATCCATTGTTTTATTTTGAAGTATGTGAAAATTTGTGAGACTGCTTTCAATCTGATATTTCAATTGGTAGGGTATTTAGTGTTAGTAACGTGGGTATTTCCGTTAATTCGCATATAAATAAAAAAGATCCAAATTTTAATTTACTGATTAATAGACTAATATTTTTTTTGTTTATGAGACACATAAATTTTATCTTATAAGTGTGATTAGAACCTGTTTCAGAGACTAATTATTGAGTATTTTGGAATGAAATGGTCCCGAATAGAGCAGAATGGATAGACGATTGATGCAATCGAGTCCAACTAGTTTGGGATTGATTGATTGAGACAAATGAAAATAGGGTTTTTGATGCTCCACTTCAGTTTGATCTTTTTGATGTTTAATTCTCCTTCCCTAATTGATAAAAGGTTTAGCTTTACACCACTTGTTAGTTTACACATCGTTCACTTCTCATTAATTTTTTTTTTAATTCTGCTTTACAACAACAACAACAACAACATACCCAGTATTATCCCACACCGAGTGTACGCAGACCTTACCCCTGCAACAACATACCCAGTATTTCTAATTCTGCTTTATCATATCCAATTGTGGAATCAGTAGGTTATTCCTTTCCATTGTGGATGCTGATTTATGTTAATGTTATTTTAGAAGTAGGTGTAAAAAGCCCCTGAGCGCCATTAGATTCCTAAAGCTTAATAGAATTCTAAGCATAATGCAACAACAAAAACTTTTGCTGGCACACTTGAATATGGGTTCCAAGTTACGATTGCTCAGTCTCCCTATGATAAGTTTGAGTCTTATAAGTGTAAGAGTGCAGGCACCTGGTTCAATGTTGGAGTTGGATTCTAGATCCTTTTACTTATAACTCATGGTTACTACGACATATTTAGGATTGTTTGTGGGGAAAGAGGACCTTATGTGATTACTTCTTTGGAGAAGCTTCTTAATTGCCTTACACGCGAAGTGCTTGTAGTTTCCTATACTTTGTATCAATTTCATGATCTTGCATCAGTGATTGACATTACGTGGATATTGTGAAACTCTAGAATGGAGGAATCCTTTCACAATGGCAATGGGAAGCATGCGTTCTTTCAGTGAGGATTTGTCTCACATGCCTGACATAAAAGATCCGGAGGTCAAACGTGCTTTTAAAGACTTAATGGCTGCAAGCTGGCATGAGCTCCCAGATGCTGTCGTCTATGATGCCAAGAATGCAGTGTCCAAAAGTACTGATGACAAGACTGGCCAGGAAGCTTTGGCGAGTGTTTTCCGCGCTGCGGAGGCAGTTGAGGAGTTCACGGGGATTCTCACATCTCTGAAAATGGAAATTGATGATGCTATCGGTTTAAGTGGTGAGGTAAGATGAGTTTTAAGAAACCAACGATTTGATATGTAGTTTCTCAAGTTCTTGTTGTTTAAATACTCATATTGCTGGCAGGATGTGAAGCCTCTGTCAAAAGAAGTCTCTGACGCATTGCAAACAGTATTTCAACGCTACAACGCATACATGAGTGCCTTTGGGCCAGAGGAGGGATATTTGAGGAAGAAAGTTGAGATGGAACTAGGGACCAGGATGATACACTTAAAGATGCGATGCAGTGGCCTTGATTCTGAATGGGGAAAGGTACATTTAATTGAAGCAAGTTGGTTGCATGTATTTCAGCTTTTCTGTAGGTTACAACTTCTTACACAAGCGACATTTGCAACACAAGCTATGTTTCGCTTAGGAGATAAGAAAGCTGTGGATACCAACTGCACTCTGAATTACCCTTCTAAAGTTGCACTCGAGTATTGACTGCTATTTCTGTGGTTTCTTTTTCCAACAAAATTTCAAGCAACCTCTTGTAAAATGACCAGCTTTTTATGAGGCCATCCGTTATGCCTTAAAAAATATTCATATCTACACATAGGAGTGTCAAGCGGGCGGGGCGGATATGGTTCGGGTCGAAAACGAGTAATGAAAAAAAACGGATAAATTATCCGACCCGACCCATATTTAATACGGATAAAAAACGGGCCCATATTATCCATGACTTTTTGCATATGATCATTTTTGGGAGAATTCTTAGTCTCCCTAACTTGAGGAACCCCCAATTTGAGGCTTTACAAATGTAAAAGTTAGACCCATTGGTTATCTATTTTCTAAATGGATAATATGGTTCTTATCCATATTTGACTCGTTTTTAAAAAGTTCATTATCCAAACCATTTTTTAGTGGATAATATGGGTGGTTAACTGATTTCTTTTAACCATTTCCCCACCCCTATCTACAATGCTATCATCCATTAACTAGCATACAAGAAACATCTCCCCAGCTTCCTATTTTGATAATGGGGTTTAATTTCTCTGGAATAGATTCCTTTAATGCTTCAGGTGATATTACAATTCATTTTTGAAAGTGTTTCTTGAAGATTTTTGTTGCATTTTCAAAATTATAGTCTGAGATCTCCTGAAGGATGAAGCATATAACCATTATTTGTTCTCACTGCTCTTTCTGCCTTGCTAACTCCAGGTTACAGTACTTGGGACTTCTGGACTTGCTGGTTCTTATGTTGAGCATAGAGCATAGACCTTCAACTATGGCAGACATACCACCGTGTTTTTTTCTTCAATCACTTGAATGGCTGTTTTTTTAGATAATACAGGTTGCTTTAATATGATCTGTTATGTTGCACTTGGTTCGCAAGTTTGATCATGTGACTGCTATAATAGGCAAATGATAATAATCCAAGAAATTTGTGCAAGGAAATACTTTCTTGAATATTCAGAAAGTTCTAATCTTTGTTTCTTCAAGGTGTGTGCTTCAACACATATTTTCTGGTTGGTTGATGAATCAACTTCTTGTTTTAAGTTGGTTTGCTTATTTACTGTACGTGGCACAGAGCACTTTGTACCAGCAGTTCACTTTTATCCCTATGACGAAGAACTTCCATCTTTGAACTTCTGTGATTTGGCCTTAATGCCAAACTGGTAAAATAAGTGAGGTAAAATAAGTGACATTAAATGGACTACTTAGCCAAAGTTTGAAGCATGCAAAGCATAAGAAAGGTGTTGAATTCTCGAAAGAGTTTGTAGCTATTATTAAGAACATAGTGAATACATGAAAAATGAAGTTCAGCATCCCTTTTGGGAAAATGTAAAATTCCTTTGAAATTAAGAGAAGATTGGTTTTGAATGCCAACAACTAGTATATCTTGATCGTTCTTGCACTCTTTCGCCATGACCAAGAATCAGATGGAGATTTTGGCAAAGGAGGAAGTAACAACAGTTTACGGCATAGACCAAACGGCCATCCTTCACAATGTGAGAATTCCTGAATAGCAGAGCGCCTTGGAAAATCTTGAAACTCAATCCTGTTCAAGCTTGAAGAACGAGAAAGGGTTGTCTTAGCTGTGGCAAATGCCTCATAGCTTATAGCACTTGAGCAGCGCGAAAAACGAGTACCAGCAGAGAGGAAATCCTCGTTATCTTCCTTTTCTTGATGTTCCTTGTCCTCCTTTTGTTGCATTAGCTTTGTGGATGTGAATAAATCTCCTGCTGTTGGCGAGAAACTCCAGTTGAACTTGTCACTTGAGATAGTTGTCTGTCTTCTGCATTTGGACTCCATGTATTTACTTATTACTATGGATACAAACACCTGTTGATAAAATCCACAAAATATCTTTCAGAAAACATAAACATATCATAAGATTAATGCATTGAACTTGAAAGAAAAACTTGACTATAAATTATTACTTCCTCTTCATCATCATAATCATCGATTGCATCGTCTTCGTCTGAGATTTGAGTACTAGAATGTCTTTCCTTAAAAATGTGGCAATTGGCAAATGCATCCTTGAGAGTTGAAGAGAAGAATTTGCATCTCTCGGAGGGATTTGGTGATTCTTGCTTGGGAGAGAAGACCATGTTTGGAGAGTAAAATTCTTTGAGTGTTGTAGGTGAAAAGGTTCCCCAAAGAGAACTAAATACTTGTAATTTTTCTCTACTGTTTTTTCCCTTTTGAAATTCTTGCATGAAAATGGCCTTCCATCTTCTATGAACTTTTTTGGGTCTTTAATCTTTAAAGTGAAGACAACATTAAAAGAGCCGACCAAGGTATTTTCAAGATAATAACTGATGGCAACTTGGACTGCTTCTCTCAACCCACTAGGCCAAATCAACTGACATCTCAGTTTCTTATTCTATATATCTTAGTTATTGTTTCTATTTCATAGTAATGCTTCTAAATTTGTAGCCATTATTTTTCACTTCAACCTGAAGTCAAGGGTGAAAGAAGACACTACACCAAACTATGACCACTAAAAAATCCTTTCAGATCTTATAACCTTATGTGAATATGGTATAAGAGATTAATCAATTTGACATTGAATCAGCTGAAAAGACGAAAATGATGTCATCAACAGAAATATTTTTTGGTATAATATTTTACTATTTACCAAACACTGTCCTTTTTCAGGATATCAACCTAAAGAATTTTTTTCATAGCTGCACCTTTTGAAGCTTAGTTAAAATACCATAAGTTAGTTTAGAATAATAAAACTACGTTTCACCACTAACACAATCATTTAGCTCTTCGCCAGTTCTCCAAAATTATAATCACTGTGTGATACAAAAACAAAGTTTTATTTTGGTAAAATCTATAACAACAACAACAAACTCAGTGTAATCCCAATAAATGGGTCCAGGGAGGGTAGTATGTAAGCAGACCTTACCCTTACCTTTATAGAGATAGAGGCTGTTTCCGATAGACCTCGGATTTTGGTCAAATCTATCTTCCTACAAAACAATAACAAGAAGAAGAGAAGCAGCTCTACCATAAGAAACTGCAACTCGAGAAAACTGATTTCTTGCCACAATGTTACAACATCTTCATATAGTGGAAGCAACAAGATTTCAAGGCGTATCGTCTATTTTGTTAGTGACAAATTTATACACTGACAACACCAGACATCCATGGAACAATTACTGGTGCATTTGGGTGAGCATTTCTGTATGATTCAGGATAGCGGTCCTTAAAATTCAACGTAGGTGTCTCTGCCTGCATTTGCAAATGAAAAGAGGAAGAGACGATTGACAACAGCTTAGTCTGCTAAATATCAAAATTTGCAAAGATAAGAACGGGAGGTAGTAAAGTTTGTGAAGGGAAAGCGCGCAGAACTTACATATTTTAGCCAACACTCCTGATGCTTGTGTTGATAAATATCCGGAGAGTGGCATCCTGTCTCTGAGGGGCAGTAAACCCAAATGTTACATTTCTTTTGATTAGGTCTGGCATGCTTAGCTTGATTCAAACAAGCCATGCAACACTCATATGCAGATTTTTTATGGTGTGTAAGGCCCCATCTTACAGCAGCACCACCGTAATCAGTATGGAGTTCAGCATGACACTCGGGAGGAAGCTGCTTGCCAGCTATGACTTCATCATCTGGAGAATATAAGTTTATAAGTTACTGCATAAGTATCTATAAGTAGAGAGGGTCTCCTTCTTTTGTTAATTTAACATAGCAAATTTGTGATAGAGAGGACATAATATGAGCACGCTTGATTGATCAAATTTTAAGCATCCATGCCTTCAATCAAAGAGATGTTTTATCTTTTTCTTTTCTTTTGTACAACAAATAACAACTAAGCCTCAGTCCCAAACAAAGTTAAGACCGGCAATATGAATCCTCCCTTCTTTCTTTAATTCAAATCATATCATCATCATGCAAAACAAGAAAAAAGAGGAAAAAAAGAGGGGGAAAAGCAAATGATATAACAATAACAACAAAGACGCTTGCAAAGGAGAGGCGGAGAGGGAGGGGAAACGGAAGAATACTTTTCTTGCTCAAAAAACGGGAGATAACGAGAAAGCTGATGAAAGGTCTAGACCAAAACAAAAAAAAAAGAAACACATAAAATTTGGACTGAACAACTATCTCATTACCAAGTTCCTCTTCACCCTCAGGTTTGTCATCATGTTCTTTATTAGTGATCTGAACAGGTATCCAGAGACCAATTTCTTCAGACAGCTCACCCCAGTCATCCTCCAAAGCTCGTGCAAGTAAACCTGCAAGCAAGGTCACAATAGATATTACCTTCTTTTCTGAAAATTCCAGTGAACTAGAAATGAGAACTCCTTCATCATCAAAAGAAAGTTGAAAATACAAACTGTGGAATAGCAGTCATAAAAAGGACATACTAGCCTCCTCTGGGGAAATAGTTGAATTTGATGTTTTCTCATGAATGATTTCTGCAACTTCATTCAATTTTTCTCTTCGCCAACTTTCCACCGCATCTGTTCGACAAAAACACCGTCAAACATGATAACCAGGAATTGTAAATGAAACACAGCAAATGAATGCATACAATAAAAATATCATAAGGAACTAATAATAAAAAAGTATATTGCAGTCGATGCCCTTCTCCAAATATGTTTCGGTGGCTACTTCGGACTTCACATACACATGAATTCTTCTAAATTAAGTGGCATTTAAGTAAGCTATCCGAGTCGATAGCAGTGGAGAAGGTGTAAAATACCTGGATCTTCCCCTAGGCAATAAAGTGGAGGAGAGGGAGCTTTAGCAACCAATAACGCAAAAGTTTGGGAGATGATAGGAAGGATGAAGGAAGCAGGTACTAGAAGTTTGGGAGAAGATAGGTGGGATGGATGGCAAAGGGAGGAAGAGTTTCCTTGATAAAGGCAATCCAATCGAACATTCCTAGAAACTTCATGTCTCTGTTTCCCATCCCACCTTCAGTAGCCAAGAAATGTTATGTTTAATCTAAAAAAGAAAAATACCGAGGAATGAATGGAGATGGAGATTTTCATTTGGAGTGTTGGGGGAGAGTCAAATCCCCTATTAGGAACACACGTTGGGTACCCGAAGATAAATAACTATGTTTGACTGAGCTCTCCCGAGAAAACGATTATAGAGGTTTGCAAATTAGGAGAAGGCTCTGTGGATGGAGGTGATTAATAAAAAATGGTTCCTAAAAGAGATGAGTTATTATTCTTAAAGAACAAGCTTATGGAAAGGGATCGTGAAGGAGAGAAAGGATGTTTCAAGATTCATTAGAATCATTATCACGAACGGGAATGCAGTCCATTCTGGCTTAATATTTGGTGTGATGATACTGTTCATAAAGACGACTTCCCTTGCATACTCTTCATTCCAAATACAAAGGAAGCCACACTTGCAGAGATTGTTTCATAGGGATGAAGAATAAATAGCATAGAAAGCCCACAAGACAAGGAGAGTGACAAGGTGAAAAGACCCTGCACAAGCTATGTAACTATGAGAGAAGAAGATAAGATGGTGTATAGAAGGGACTTCTATCAAAATCCTTCGATATGAAGTCTTATTGTAGTGGAGGTGGGCCGTTGATAACTTTGGAAAGGATAAAACAAGATCTGGAGACAAAAACAAGGGGTGAAGACACAACAGGAAACATTGGAACATGAATTGTTGATAACTTCGGAAGAGTACAACAACAACAACAACAACGACCCAGTATAATCCCACAAGTGGGGTCTGGGGAGGGTAATATGTACGCAGACCTTACCCCTACCCCGAAGGGTAGAGAGGCTGTTTCCAGGAGACCCTCGGCTCAAAAGGCTCAAAAAAAAGCAATAGGAGATAATATATTAGTACCATAAAAATGCGTAATAAAATAACAACAATATATAGGAGATACGAAATATGAAACACAGGATACGAAATACGAAATACGAATTAGATGGCTGGTATAGTACAACTAGAAGGTAAAGCCCTGCATCAATAGACGACCACTGACATTCCTAGTCTAACTCCTAACTAGATAGTCTCTCTCAGTTGTGCTGTAGAAATATTCACCCTCTCCCCTAACCTACAACCTTAATGCTCGACCTCCATAATTCCCTATCAAGGGCCATGTCCTCCGTAATCCTAAGTCGCGTCATGTCATGTCTGATCACCTCTCCCCAATACTTCTTAGGTCTCCCTCTACCTCTCCGCGTGCCCACTACAGCCAGTCGCTCACACCTCCTCACCGGTGCATCAGTGCTCCTCCTCTGAATGTGCCCAAACCATCTGAGTCTTACTTCCCGCATCTTGTCCTCCATGGGGGCCACACCCACCTTCTCTCGAATATNCTTTAGACTCAAGAGCATGTCTCCAAATCTCTAGCCTCTCGTTGACGCCGCCTCTTGTCTCGTCAATTAGAATAATGTCATCAGCAAATAGCATGCACCATGGAACCTCCCCTTGAATATGATGTCTAGACAGAATAACATAGACTTGTCATTTAGGAGAGAAAAAGAACAAGTCTTGAGCATCTGGTCAGCGCATGCAACAACAATGAAGGCAAACAGACCTAAATATCATGATTCGGAAGCTCCGACAACTCTCCATACTAGGACATACTAATTATATGTTTATGCTAAAGAATATTAGTAGTATTTAGTTTTCAGCTTATGTTTAAACAGAAAAAGCGCATGGCAAAGCAAATCCAATGTTCCGCATGCTAGTGTAACACTCAAAACCAGTGTAACAATTCTTTCCATCTGACAGCTTCCTTTTCAGAAGACCAAGACACCTGTTTCAGCTACACTTTTGTGAACTGCATTTAAAGAAAGGTTTCCGTTCGCCGAATTCGGTAAAAGAAAACCTTAGACACTAGGACCAAATAGACATTAGTAAGAGATAAGATGACATAAAAGTCTACAACTAATACAGGCTTCAGTATAAAAAGTCAAGAAGTCTTCCCTGATAGAAACTTTAAGAATGCAGGCAAGGGCGGATCCAGCTTGCGACTTACAGGTTCACGTGAACCTAGTAGCTTTTGTTCAAACAGTGTAAATGTGTTCCAAAAATTCATTAAGTATCTATAAATATTTAAATGTGAACCAGTTACTATTGAAAATTTACTCGAGGTCATTTCAGTAACCCATAAACATTAAATTCTGGATCCGCCTCTGAATGCAGGTAGAAAAACAAGGATAGCACAATTTTATTAATATACAGAAATAGAAGGCACACTCACCTTGTAGCATCGTTGCATCGGCATTGGCATTCACAGCTTTTAAAATTACTAGTATCTCGTCTGCTATCTTCCATTTAATATGCTGAGGTATTTGTTGCACCTTTTCATCCTTCAAAAGTTCGATCTTTAAGCGATTTACCTTCATCATGTAAAAAGCATTCCTCATCAAGCAAAATCCACGTGAATATAGCAACATTCAGAAACAAGATACCAAAATCTCAAATAAGGTCTTACCACGTTAATAAGTTCTATAGGTTCTAGTTGTTTCCGTAATTGAATTGACTCTTCCATTTTCCTAATCTGATCTGAGGTATACCTAAAAGCTGTATTCACAAAAAACATCCATTTATCAAACCAGCAACGAATATTCCAAGTAATCAACAAAAACCAAACAGGTCAACAGAATATTCAGACTCAAGAAACAATTAATCAGGGAATGCCTAAAGCTAAAAGCTGTGGCAAAACTCAAAAGCCATGGATTCTATCAAACAAACATTCGACTTTCCAAGAAAATAACAAAATCAAAGCCAACAAGAAAATTAGGGTGCTAAAAAAGAAGCCAAAACCTGCTTGTTTAAAGAATCAAACTGTTCCTGTATGCTTTTTCTTTTAAAATCCACAGTCAAATAAAGGGTTGGGTCATAAAATAATCTGAGGTATAGCTAAAAGCTGTGGCAAAAGAACCCTTATTTATCAAACAAGCATTCAACTTTCTAAGAAAGCAACAAAATACCAAAATGAGTACAAACAAAAGATTCAGAATCGAGCAAAGGGGACAATAAAAAATAATCTGGTTTTATGGGATATAGCTAAATATACTTAAACGCTGTGGCAAAACCACTCATTTATCAAACAAGCAATCAACTTTCCAGCAAAATCCCAAATGGGTAAACATAGAATTCAGAATCAAGACAACTTATTCATCCCAAAATAATATGGTGTACAGCTAAAAGCTGTGGCCAAAAGCGCTCTTTATCAAACAAGCATTCAACTTTTGAATAAAGAAACCAAGGGGTAAACAGAAAATTCAGAATCAAGTAAAGGGTCATCCCTGTTTGAGTATAAATAGCAAGCCTTACCTGTTTGAGTATGATTGTAAGGGTACATATATACAGAAGTGTAGAGAGAGTGAAGCACATAGAGAGCAACAAATATGTTGATTGAGCAAATAACAATCATAGTTCGCTTATATAAACACCATTTTCCTCTCCATTCTACTGCTCTTGCCATCGCCACTCACTTTCTCTTCTCTTCACTCCTCATTCCATCATCTTCTATCCACTCAATAAAACAAAGAAAAAGACACCCCAAGAATCTAGAGAATGTTTCTTAAGAATTCGTTGTTTGCTCTTCAAGGATCAGATAGATCGTTAGTAGCAATACTATTTTTACTTGATTGATTTTATTAAAACAATACGAAAAGTGGAAAACAGGGAGAGGAGATGAAGTAGCAAGTGCTATAGACTATAGTGTAACAATGGAGATTCTTTTTCTCCAGCAGCTGTCGTTAGTGAAATGTGTGTGTTTTGGGTCATAGGGGTTTAATTTATCAATTATAATTACTACTCCTCCGCTCCACTACTTAGGTAGAGATAATTATGATTTACGTGATGTAACGTGTGATAGTACGGGGAAACAAAAATGTCGGGGGAGAAAGATTATGTTTTTAGGGTATTTCGATATTGTCTGGTTTTGGTGTTAAAATGATATTAAAAGTTAGTTGTAAAAAGGCAGAAAAGGGAAAAGTCTTGGATCCAGAGGCAGAGCCGGCATTTGAAGTTGCTGGATTCGGAATTCTAACCTTCTTTGTGCTATTGGAACTTGGGTTCTAAAGTAAGAATTCATACCTATTCAATAAATTTCTCAAGATAAATATATGATTTGAACTAAAGCTATTGGGTTCTGCCGAACTCATTGTCGAAGCTGTAGCTCCGCCCCTTTCTCGGGGACTTTACTACTCAAGTACTCATAGTACATGTCATGTTAGAAATATTTGATTTACTTAAAAATTACTAACATGGGAAGTGTAATATAATTTTGAAATCTTCTATAAAATGCTGCAAAATGAAAAGACACACCTATGAGTGAAATGATCTACCATTTTAGGTTTGGAATTTGCGTATAATAAACGGCTTTGCAAATAGTTAAATATGGATCTTAGCTGAAGTTAGTTCTCACTTTTTAAAGAAGTTATTTAAGAAGCCATTAGATGCAATTCTAATGTTATACTGCAAAAAAAAGCTTGCATGACTTGTAGAAATTATAGAAACTGGTAATATGTTACTAATAGTGTGCTTGGAGCTTTTTTGGGGCCAAAAATAATGTGTTTTTTTTTTGTTGCTAAAAGTGATTTTTCGCTAAAGATAAAGGTATTTGGCCAAACTTTTAGAAGGTTAAAAGGTACATTAAAGTAGAAGCACAAACAGTTTTTGGAAAATAAAAAAACTAGCTTCGTCGCAAAAGCCCTTTTTTGAAAAGTACTCCCTCCGTTCACTTTTACTTGTCCACTATGGATTTTGCAGGTCTCTTAAAAAATAATAAATTAAGTGCATAATTTACGATGATACTCATATTAATTGATGCATATTTTTAATGAATTTGAAAAAATATTTTGAAATGGTTAATTAATACTATGGTTATAACATAAAAAATATTATTTTTTGTTGATATGCGAAAAGTGACAAATAAAAGTGAAAATAGAATACTGGACAAGTAAAAGTGAACGGAGGGAATACTTTTAAGAAAAATATACTTGTTGTCACACCTCCTTTTTCCGCGCCCGGGGGGCGCAGGGGGAGTTTTTTCCAATTAAAGGACAATCGAAACGGGATTGGTTTATTTATTTCAGAGTCGCCACTTGGGAGGTTTAGGGTGTCCCAAGTCACCAATTTTAATCCCGAATCGAGGAAAATAATGACTCTATATTACAGTCTGCGTACCAGAAATCCGGATAAGGAATTCTGTTAACCCGGGAGAAGGTGTTAGGCATTCCCGAGTTCCGTGGTTCTAGCACGGTCGCTCAACTGTTATATTCGGCTTATTTATCTGATTTTAAACACAATTATGAACCTATGTGCCAATTTTATCTTTTATCCGCTTTTATCGTTCACCGTTATTTTTATAGGACTTGCAACGTCGTGAAAACATATCTCGAACCACGTTACATCAATGCACCCGTGGTTGTTGACATATCTCGACTCGGTTGAGATTTGGATTTGGGTCACATAAATGCGCACCCGAATTAAGGAAAATAAATTATTAAGACGCGCCTAAAGTAACTAGCGTATTGTTGTTTTGGGGAAGGCCGAAAAATTCGCTAAACGGTCTGTCCCGAATTCTAAGTGTTAATATATATACAGTTAGAGGGCCCAGCAGTTGTGTACATTTTTTGTTTGACGAGGCTCGTCTCGTTCTACTTTTAAAAGGAATTTGCGACGTCAGGGACATGCATCTCGAACCACGTCACAATCAATGTACCCGTGATTAGAAATACATTTCGAATCCGTCGAGATTTGGATTTGGGTCACATAAATG